TAAAACTTTCCATCTGTTTCCGTGGTGTTCTGCATATTGGGCTTCTCTGAGAACCAATCATGACAGAACACTGCGGCCAAACACAAGGCCCCGCAGATCACCTCCACCGTAGACTGGAAGAGCAGGATGCTCAAATCCAAGGACAGACTCAAACCCTCCGTGAGTTATACAACATGGTCAATTACCATAACCAAATGCTTCAAAGGTATGCTAACAACATGAGTAGTGCTAATGCCACACCAGCAGCACAACCATTTCCGGGTCCAGTTCCGCCTCCGAGGTCACCGGTGGTGACGTCATCCCCTGAGTTTCGCCCTAGTCTCCCTGAAAAGTTTTCAGGTAATATGAAGGATTGTAAAGGATTTTTGTTCCAATGCAGACTCATTTTTTAGAATTCTCCTGGAAGTTTTCCTACGGACGAAACAAAAATAACATTTATTCTGTCCCACCTAACAGGAAAAGCCCTTGAGTGGGCTCAGGCCAGGTTTGCCTCCGAAGACAGTATCAGCGATAATTTTTCTGATTTTGTTTCAGAGTTTTCCCAAGTGTTTAACCATGATTCCGACCAGACTATTGATTCTCGTGCTCTGTTAAGTCTTAAACAGGGAAATTCCTCAGTTGCTGATTTCTCCATCAACTTCCGGGTTAAAGCCGCTGCTTCCGGATGGAATCAACGGGCTCTTACAAGTGCATTTTTCAACGCTTTAAATGTAAATATCAAGGATGAACTTGCAACCCTCGACGAACCAGAAACTCTAGATGAATTAATCCGCCTAACCATTAGGTTGGATAACAGAATCTGTGCTAGAAACCATTCTAGACGAAGAAATCAAAGTTCTTCTGTGTCAACCCCTGCTTCTAATAATGCTACTTTTTCTTCTGGTCCCACAGAACCCTTCTCCAAGCCATGGTCTAAGACCCAGTCACTTTCTATGCCTGTTCAGGTCTCTCATGCAGTAGAAACGGAAGCTGAACCAATGCAGGTTGGACATACAAGGCCAGAGGAAAGACTAAGACGTGTCAGAA